TCTTGGAATCCTAAATCACGGAATGGTTTGGGTTGGAAGGGACCTTACAATTCACCCAGTTCCACCCCCCTGCCATGGGCAGGGACACCTTTCACCAGAGCAGGCTGCTCCAAATCCCATCCAACCCAGCCTTGAACATTTCTAGGGATGAGAAGTCCACAGCCTTGGTGATGTCACACGGACAGGCCATCGGAGAGAGGTGACAGCAACAGAGAGAGGTGACATTATCAAAGCTCTACCTGTTGAGTTACAAAGCCCCCAGGAGAGCTGCAGAATCCAGAATCATGGGCAGTGTACCCCATCAACTCTGCAGTCCCAGAGGTGCTTATTCCCAGTGACAGGCAGGGAGGAAGCAGCATTTTCATTTGCAAGCTGCAAATCGACCAAAACACGGCCCCATCGAATGACAAACATGCCAGTGGATTTTACAGTCTGCAGCCCATTGCTGATTTTATTATTAATTTATGTCCATTAACTGATGGACGTCCCTGCCATTGATGCCACTTGGTCTGAGAGCACCAGAGAGCCAAAGCTGCAGCAGGCAGTGGCTACTGGGCTTTAATGTGAGACAGCTTCTGCCTTTCCAAAATGATTGGAGCTTTTGTGTGCTGCTTTTTCCTTGTTTCTCCTGTTCCTTGAYGAAATGATCCTGCCCTGATAACATGTGAGCTGCCATGAAGCAGCACGAGCATTTTCCCCCTGTGAGAGCCCAGCTRGGTTATCTTACAGGGATCCAAAAGAGAAGAGCCTACATGAGATGGAAGAAACTTTGCAGGGTCTGATTTTGCCCCAAAGCAGACAGAAAGCACTTGCAAGTTAAAGGACTCTGAGATCCCAGTGATTTTAAAGTTAGATAATGGCATTTTGCTCATATTCTGCATAGTGAAGGATGAATCCATCTGTTAAGTACATATTGCATATCTAAATCTGATAATATCTAGATTAAAATATATCTATTTTAATATCCACCTCAATAATAAAAGCTGTTTTATTTCCCTTCCACCCCCTGCAGGGTTTCACGAGGCTCAATCCTGCAGGGCYGGGTTGGTTTCATCCCCTTCCACGAATTCCTAGGGACACTGAGCAGAGCAGCCCTTCCGTTGTGCTGAGGGCTGAGGATTGTCAGGGCATCCAGTGGCCTGAGATACCACCTGGATCCCCACAGTTTTGGAATGTTGTCCCAGGGACTGAATTCGAGCTCTTCAAGTCTTTTCTTCAGAAGGGATTAATTCAATTACCACAAGTAACAAAACAGCTCACAGCACTCTATAAATAGACTGGTGGGCTCCRACACAGCTCCTGGCTATGCCAAGAAATGGGACTAATTATAGCTGCTTAACGACAGAGTTCAGGGGGCTGGAGAGATTAGGCAGAAAAAATGCCAGGATGGCTCAAACCTGCCATGAAAATCAGCTGGGGAAGCGTGGAATCACAAAATCCGGAACGGTTTGGGTTGGAAAGGACCTTAAAACTCAGCTCATTACACCCCTCTGGCACAGGCAGGGGACACCTTCCACTGTCCCAGGCTGCTCCAAACCCCTGTCCTTGGGCATTTGCAGGGATCCAGCCTGCAAATGGATCAGCCACAGCTTCTCTGGGCACCCTGTGCCAGCAGGGCCTTCCCACCCTGTGCAGCATCCCCACAGTGACCAAGGAGGCTCTGCTGGAGGGGATGGGTCGGAGCAGGGGGCACGGAGCCCATCGCTGCCACACTGCCAGGCCCTGCTCAGGGGACCATTGGAGGATGACAGAGCCAAGCGATCAATGCTTTTTTCCAGCTAAAAAGCAGCAATTTCCCCCAGAGCCGAGGTTAGGGCCTTGGCAGCACCCCCAGTCCTGCACCTCAGCCTCCTGCTCTGCCCAGCCCCTTCTCCTCCCACCGCTCCTGCTGCCAGGCGAAATTCCCAGCTGGGCTTTTGTCACCGACGCACGCGTGTTTCTGCGGGAAGTTTCTATTTCTGTGAATAGCAATTTTTTCAAGCGACTCCTCCCCCGCCTGCTCCCCTCCACAGGAGCCCTGACGAACGCCGCTGGCATGCCTGGAAGCCGCGGYTCATCCTGCGTGCCAGCCCCGGCCGCAGCCTCCGCCCTCCGCCCTCCCATCCCGCAGCCCGTCCGTGGTACGGGAATTACACTCGTGGAGTCCTGTGAGGGTCAAATCGAGCTGGGAGCACTCCGTGTGCTGGGCCCCCGGTGCTCACCCTGTGCCTTTGGAGGGCTGAAAAGAAGTGGAGGAGCCTGGGGAGCCAAGCCTGCGGGAAATCCCMAAAAAAGCGRCACCTCTGCTTGGAGTGGCACTGAGATCTCCAAGAACGTTCTGGCATGTCCCAATTCCTGAGCCTTGCCGGACCCAGCTGTGCAGAGGAGCCAGCAAATTGTTTTTGTCTTTAATTAAACCTGGAGTCAACCCCCGCAGTGCTCCACCAGTCTGCCAGCCCTGTTTGTCCCCTCCTGATGGACCCCCTGCTCAGGGTGAACCTCCCAGTTTGGGACCAGGGACTTAGGGGCACTTTGGACTCCCAGTTTCCATGAGAAGACACTGCCTGCACTATTTGCCTTGGGGAAGTATGGGTCTCCATCCCACAGAGGTAATTGACACAGTTGCCATAGGAATATGAAATTTATGAAGAAGGGAGAGCAGRGGGTCCCATGGCCAGGCAGAATGGTAGCTGTGGGATGTGCTGTCTTGCTGGGTCTTACTGAAAACTGCCCTCACTGCACTCACGGGWGAGGCTGCTTCCCCAAAGGAGCTGAAGTCAGAGTGCTGTGACCTGGATCCAAGGATCACTGTCCTGTCTCCATCCCACAGCAGCACAGGGAAAGGCACTGGCACCATCTGGATGGCTTCCATGCATCCAGGCCGTGCCTCTCAGCATCCGTGCCTGGGGCACAGAGCTGAGCAATGAAAGGGAACAACCCCAACGGTGCTGTTCTGCTGCACTGGGAGCTGTATTTAGCATTCCCACTGCTGGTTCAGATGGGAATGGGCCCTTAGAGGCTGGAATTATCAAAAGCAGCTCTTGGGAATGAAAAAAAAAAGCTGGACAAACTGCTGATTGCAGCTGCCTGGCTCCCAGAGTGTGGCACAGGGGGAATGAGTGCTGTCTCTACTCAAGGACCAAAGGACCGTATTCCCCTCGCTGTTTCTGAATTGAGTGGCACTGGCAGCCAGAGCGGGGCTGGATAGGGATGGGATCATAGGGGAATATCCTTAGGGTGGTGTAGAAGTGCTTGTCACAGTGASCAGCACCCTACTGCAAAGGCAAAGTGTCATTTAAACCCCGGACATTTTAGCAAAAAGCAAATCAAGAATATGTAAACCRTCTGGTTTGTAAAGAACCTTCAGGGTTTCCTCTGCTCCAACCTCAAGAAATTCCACAGCTGCTGCTGCGTGGGAGGGAGCCCGGGGAGCATTTTTCTGCTTTGCGTGAGGCTGATGCTCAGGGCTGGCTGCAGCCCCYRGCYGGGAAGGGCTGTGCTGAGCAGCACACGCTGCAGCCCCCCTGCCCTGTGCGCCCAGAGCCTCTCTCCATCCCCTTCCCAGCCTGCCAGAAATGTTACTGAATTCTTATAAATCCTTGCATTTTCCAGAGGGCCTGAAACCGCAGTAGTCCTATCCCAGAGGCTCCTGSATCTGCATGAAGAACTCTGCAAGGGGCAGAGGGGATGTGCCAAGAGCGATTTGCTACTCCTGGAGGTATTTTCTACTCCTAATTAATACAGAAAAAATGGGTGTCTGCCAAGGAAGCCAAAATATTCCCATTTTCAAGATCCAGGGCAAGCAAGGGAAAAGCAATGCGGACTCCTCTGAATGTCTGCAGACACCATCTCTCTCTGCCTGGCTCCTGTTTATTAACACAGTGGGACTGTTGGGAGGTTCCTGCCCTGCCTGTGGCTGCTGGGATGAGCTCCGTGCCCAGCGCCCGCTGCTGTTCCTATGACAGCCCAGCACAGGGATCCCAGAATGTCCAGGAGCAGACCTGGGACAAGCGACAGAAGCCTGCGGGCCTGTGTGGCTCCCCATGCCGTCCCAGGATGGAGTAGAGAGCACCGGGGAGTTGTGCYCYWYCCTGTGCCCCATCCTGTGACGGGGAGCACCAGAGAGCGTGTCCCTTTTCCCGGTGCCCCATCCAGGATCGGTGCGGAGAGCACTGGGGAGCACTGGGGAGCATCCCGGGGCCCCGTCCCGGACGGGAATGGGGTGGGGCCGGGGTCCCGATCCCTCCCAGTGCACCGTCCCGGTTCGGCGGAGCCGTGCGGGGTGCTGAGAGGTGGTGCGGGGCGGTGCGGG